AGCACAGTAACTTGTCATTTCTGGGGATCTTGGGCATGCAGCAAGAGAACACCCACTGCTATAGCACTGAAATGCTCACCAACATCCTGGCTAGGAGGAGAGGAGCTGGCACAAGTATTTTGCATCTCCCCTGCCCTGCCTGGCACAATCTGGCTCTCCCAGATTTACTCAGCATACCTTACCAAGGATCATTTGAAAAGGAAACCAAAATCTAGGCAAAATGTCTGGGGTTTAGCAAAACACTAAAGCAGACAGGTTATTCCAACAACGAGGTTCACTTTCTAACCACATTTAAATTACATAAAATCCTTAAATACTAAAACCCACTAATAGTTTTTCTGCCTCCACAGGTCGCCCAAGCCTTCAGCCATATATTCCAGCACCTGGCAAGTAAACACAAACGTTTCTGTTTCTCAGCATGCTCCTGGCTCCCGTTCTTCTTTGGGCTTTCCAAAACAAAGCATCTCCCAACCAGTGAGAAGGCTCCTGAACAGCATGGCTTTCAATTCTGAACGAAGTGCAGGCATTAAAGACATGCCAGAAGTTAATTTCCAGTGCTGAGTTAAATGAGTCATCCTCCTTCAGCACAGGTGACTATATCAGCTTAACCATCCACAATAATCTTCAACTTTCATCAGCAAACCATTTTGGTAGAAACTTACCCATTCACCTGCATCAGTGACTCAGAGTTCCTTTACTTCACACACCTTGGTTTGGATTATTCTTTTTTCATGAATTTACTGAATGTGCAAAACACACTTCAGCTGATATGAACTGACCTAATTCCACTGAGTTCAGCAGACTCCAATAGAGCCAGCCAGACTCGAAGCAGATAAGGCTATTGCTCTCCATGGTTTCTGTTTAACTCCAGTATCTCCACTCTTCTTCCTCTGAATGGTTTTATATGAAGTCTGAATAATGCTGTAATGTTTACAGGAAACATGTTCAGGAGAGCATGCTGTACTGAGTTTATTGCTTTGGACTTGAGGCCATAATTATGTCACAATAATACTAAGCTCCCAATCCCCCAAAAAACTATCTAAAGAGTTGTAATTTATCTACCTATTTTGCACAGCTGGCTTTCAAGACATGTGGACGGAGTACACTGCAGCAAAAGCTTAGGGAACAGTAAATAAGCCAGGAGAAAGCTGATATATTATCCATGCAGCAGCACACAGAGAAGCAACCTGGGTCTGCAAACTATGTCACTGCAGCATTATTTATAAGTGATACTGGACTAACGAGCTTTCATTGCTTCCACTTCCAGAGCTATATTGGGTGGTCAGTTAGTACAGGGACCTCTGCCTTTTGTTAGCCTGTTAACAGCAGTTGTTACATACACCAGAGGAGTAAGTATCTTCAGATGCTTTTCAAAAACGCCAGGCTAAAGAAGGCTGAGTGCCAAAAATCTTGCTGAAATTCTGTGCGGAAGGTCCTAAGCTTCTCTGATTTGCTGGCAAACGCATATAGAGAGATTTTAACATAAGAAATCACAGGCCTTTCAAGTTTTGAGCCATTAATGGAACTTTTTTCTCACATACTTCAGTCCCATATGCAGCCTATACTACCTTTTAGCACATTTAGTTCAAAAAAGAAGTTACAGAAATATCCAAGTAAGCACTTTTCCTCTATGGTCCATGTAAAAGAGGCTATTCATTACAATTAAATTATTTTCAATCCCTACAAACTGTCCTTTCCCCTTGTATACAAGGACTGGGTTCTGCAGGGCGTGAGCACAAACAGAAGGAACGTGGTAAAGGCTTACAGGGAAGCATCTGTACCTGCAGGTTTAACAAAACAGCTCCAGTTCTCATGGCCTCGCTGACTTCAAGGCTGTACATCAGCTGGGGGAAGCGGGGAGGGCTCTGGTTGTTGGGTGGAAGGACTTCAATGTAAACAGTAGTTATAGAGCTCCTGCAATGCAAGGGAAAAAAAAAAAAAAAAAGCTAGTCAAAATCAGTAAATCAACACACACAAGGCAACCAACAATGTCTATTTTACACGCTGTTTATTCTCTAGCTCTAACAAACTCCCGTTGCTCCTTTAAAGGCCTCAGGACATTTTTCATTCTGCATCAAAAATAAAGCAGGCTGCTACATAAACAGAAGAAAGGCTAAATCATTTCTTTAAAAGTAGCCCAAGTGTTCTTTGAAAAATGAAGCAAACTATCAGCGCACAGTCTACATACAAAGATGACTCGTAATCCCCTGCTGATACTGCGTCCTCTAGAAGAACATGACAACTCTAAGATGGTAACTGCTCCTGCCATGCACAATGTCCACCCCTGAAGCATCCCTGCTGTCGTGTGGTTTGCTACCTTTCTTTGGAAGACAGGGAACAGAAAATGTGGATGGGGAGGATAATGCTGGGAGAAGACTGATGTACACAACTTTGTAATAGGCTGCATCAATACTGTGGTTCACAGAAAGAAACCCAAGCCCACTTCAGACTAGCGAGCCACTGCAAAACCCACAGAGGAAACCTGTCAAACTCTTCAACTGCACTGAACCCCTAATCTGAATACAATGCAAACAGCATTCCAGTCTGCAAATTGAAGGCTTTTCTGGAATCCTGACACTGGCTACAGACCCTGCAAAGGCCATGCTGTAGGCACACTTGCTATTCATTGCTCCAAATTGAGAAAGGTAGCCAAAAGTCTCTCTGAAGTTGAGAAATTTAAAATCTGGCTTACAAGGACCATTTTCGTGCATCTTTGCTCAATTATCCCATCTGCCTTACCTCCTGTACGTTAAAACAGTACCCCTGCCCCAGAACAAAATCCTGAGGAGAGCACGTGTTACGCTGCAGGCACAGATTTTCTCTGCATAAACCCTTTGACCCCATAAACCCTCTGCATAAAACCCTTTTGTCAGTAAATCTCAGGCTTTAGGGCTGCAGGAAAGAACCAGCTTCAGGACAAAGGTCTTTGTCCCAAATTTTGCCCCCAAATTTTTTTGGGGGGGTTGGAGAGTGAAAAGGAAAACATGAACACACAACGACCTGCTTCTTGCACAGCCAGCAAACTCAAGAGCATTTTTAGAGACTCCTGCCAGAAATTACCAGGTATCTTATAGTTGAAACAGCTTCTGTGTTAGCTGACAGAGTTTATTTAATACCAAAACGACACGTCACTGATCAATATTTTTAATTAGCTGTACAGGATTCTGACTGACCACCATCACCACTGTGTTACTGGTGCTTACAACTGCGGTTTTATAACGCCGTGCCACTGATGGGGGCTGGGCAGTCCATTGCTGCAACACCACGACAGACAGCTATGTTGACCATGCTCCAAGAAAATGAACCGTGAACACTCTTCTCCAGAAAGACAAATCCCACCTGTAGGTAACTGCCGCAGGAGGAGCTTCGTCCCTAGGGGAACATCCACATACGCTGCCAGCACCCCGCAGCCCACGAGGAAGGGATTAAACCCGGCCTGGTGCCTCCTGCCTTCCACAGCTCAGCCACACGATTTGGCCAGCTCGGAGTACGTACTGAGAGCGACTTGGCTGCTGCCTGCTTTGAATAGGAGACAGACGTGCTCAGCAGTTGTATTGCAAGGGGTGCCCATGCCCAGGGGCTGGCAGCGGGGTCTGAGGGGTCTCTAAGGAGAGGCCGGGGCTGTCCTGGGCCTCAGCCCCAAGGTGGTGCCTCTGGAAAATGCAGTTAAGAAAGGGCAAAAACACCAAACAGGAGAAGAATGAGGAGAAAAAGTGTGTGGAACAGCCCTGCAAGTGCCGACCCGGGAGGAGGTGCTCCGGGTGCCCAGGCAGAGGCTCCCCTGCAGCCTGTGGGGAGACCTCGGTGGGGCAGGGGATGGTGTGAGGGGAAGGAACAGCTGAGAGGGGCTGTTGTGGACAGACCGTAACCCCCGTTCCCCACACCCTGCACTGCTCTGAGGTAGAGGAGTTGGGAATGAAGGACTGAAGTTGAGCCTGGGAAAAAAGGGAAGATGGCGGAAGTTGTTGTTTTAGTTTTGTCTTTATTTCGCACCATATAAAGCCATTTTAATTGGCAATGAGTTAAATTAATTTTCCCCAAGTCGAGTCTGTTTTCCCGGTGACACTAACTGGTGAGTGACTTACCTGTCTTTATCTTAACTCATGAGCTTTCTCACCTTATTTTCTCCCCTGTCCTGTTGAAGAGGGAGAGTGAGAGAGCGGCTGGGAGGGTATCTAGCAGCTGGCCAAGGTCAACCACCACCTATATATTAATATATACAAGCTGACCCTAACCATCCTTAAATGCTCGACTGCTCCACCACTAGCCATGTCATGACAGCCTAGCAAACATCCACCTGTGCCCCAAAACCCTGGCGACCAGCTAAGTCCAGGGAAATCCTTCCAACGGACAGCAATGCTGCGGATGCTGCCTTGCCACAGCTGTGTCTCTCTGGAGCAAGTGCCAGATTCGTGTCCATCTACAAATACAGGAGAAGGGGATCTTCTGTTTTGAACATAACAGCCAGGTCCTTATTTGACTTAGTCAAAAGTTAAACAAGTGGGCAATTTGCACTGAAATTCACCAGTAAGTGACAGAGCCTTCCCACCTGTCATATCCTTGGGCATTTAAGAAGCTCAATTTGCAGATTACTGACTTAATGGATATAAACAAAACCAGTGTAATCAGGGGAAGATGGACAATTACAACTAGTAGATCATTCGGTGTAGACTACCACCTTTACAAACTACAGTCAGTTTCCTGTCTTGTGTCTATTTTAAAATACTTCCTCATATCCCACTAATCTTTCTGAACTGTTGTTCCACACTTACATTGTTGGAGTGAAAAAAAAAATACCATCACCAAATGCTCAACAACAGACACAATGAATTAACAGACAAAATATGACTTGAGCACTGGGGCTGCATATTTTCTTGGGATAGCTGCTGTCTGTGTATGATACACACACCCAAATGGTTGCAGTTTAGTGTGCATTTTTCTTCCACTGCTGAGTTTTCAATAAAATATATTGCTCCATATATTTTTTTTTCCTGATCCTGCTACATCTTAATAATACCCAAGCTGATTTATTGCCTATCAAGCTCTAAAAAAAATTAAAATGGTTTCTGTTCACCACAACAGTAAGCAAATTTTCTTCAAATCTTTATCTTAAATATCACAAAAGTAACGCACTAATAGTCTGCAAACTAAAAGCACTATAACACTAAACAACTACATTTTTCATTTTCAATCCATTTTTGATTAGTCCTTTGCAATTTTAACCCATTCATTTTGTTTGTGCTACATACAGCCCATTTAAGGGGCTGGCAAAATCTACTTTGGCAGGGGTAAGGAAAGGAGACACAGTCAAGGCATCCAACTGCAGCTGATGTTTTTAGCACTGCAGGGACAGGTGAATACACTGAGAACAGAACAGAGCTCAGGAACTGAATAGCGCTCACAAACTCACACCAGCACGGAAATATCGCTTTTACATTACTCGAGCTAAGTGGTAAGGCAAGGAAAGCATGGGCAACAAGCCAATGAGCTTGCATCGCTCTCTGCTTTAATCCTATGTACTTTCCACATACAACTGTACTATATAATGTATAATGAGTGTATTTATATACATGTGCAACAACATATCTTTGGCCAAACAGTCTCTGCATATGCAAGTCAAAGTGGAGTCTCATGATCAGGTAGTTTCTAGATTGGACTTGATCTGGCAGATTGCTGCTATCACTGAGTGACTTGCTTCCACCATACAGCAACCTGAGGTCAATGGTGAAAAGGCTAAGGTCTGAAATGAAATTGATTGATTTTCCAAACGTTCTTTTCTTTTTTTTTTTGATAATAGAAAAGGTTAATCACTATATGCTTAACTATAACTTCAGTTCTAAAAAAATAAACTTCATCTTTAAACTTTAATACTTCATATAAAATTAAAGTACTTAAATATACCTCAATAAGTTACATTAAAGTTGCTTGCTATAGACAGAAACTTCAATTACTCAAAAAAAAAAAATCGTTCTATGCAGTCACTCATCAAGAATTTAATGTATCATACTATGCAAAATAGCTACACAAAACGCATTTCCATTTAAATTTATGCTCACAAAGGCTACAGCGCTACAGTTCCTGAGCCACATTTAGTAGTTTGGTCTCACTTTGTGCATAAGCAAAGGCATAACTGAAACCCAGCCAGTTTACACATGACTACAGTTAGCCTGGTATGTCCTGCAGCAAACCCCAGATTTGGGAAAAAATGCTTAATATTTGAAATCACATCAAAATCCTTTATTTATTTATTGTACAGGGCACACACCTTCCTGCCTGCACAGATACGTAACGGCTGGCTAGACCTCACCCATTCCTAGGAGTCCTAAATACTGGTTACTGCCTCCAGCAAGGCAATAAGAGCCATCTAACACAACGTGACAGCTGTGCATTTGGAGGACAAGAAGTCCACATGACCCCAACTGGGAGATACTAACCACCTCACAGCCAGAAGGAAGGAACTAGGGAGATGCAAAAGGACAGTTTTAAAGACCAAGCTCACATGAGCTCTCCCTGGCTTTTCGCTGTGTAAGATGACAAGAGGCTGCTTCAAGCACCACCACCTCACCTCTGGTTTTCCAGCCTTACAGAAAGAATGTCAGGAAGGCAGTGAAATCTTTTTACCCAAACGTCCCTTACCAGACAGTAAGAGTTGTCCACGTTCTTTCTCCACAGCACCTTGCTAAAGCTCCAGTGCGCCCTGCCCCAATTTTTTAACCTTCACAGACATAGAAAAAACAGCTCTGGGGCCCAAACACACCTCAGGTCAAGGCCGGGCTGGCCCTGGGGCCACCCACCTCAGCTACAGGAATACTGCCTAGATGCAGTGGTTTTTTGAACACCCATTAAAAGCTATGAAGCAAATTACATGCTGTAATTCCATAAAGGAAGGGACAAGCAGAAGTGACAAAAAGGAGAGCTTTGCCACTTTTGAAGATTATTGCAATAAAGACATTTTCAGAGGAGGAAGCACATGCTCCCAACATACATCATACGTTTTTAGACAATATAAAGATTTCTCAAACATAACAGTTACACCACTGGATTCTGAAGCTCTTTGAAGTGGCATCATTAACTTTTGTTCTCTACTTTAATACTACGCTAGTACTACATAAGAGTAAGTGCATAATAGTCTACAATCTTCTCCTCAGCACTACAAACAGACTACTACAAGCCACCCTAAGAGAGGGCTTAATCAAGAAAGCAAGTGAGAGGTAAAGGAAAAGAAAATTCAACCAGAAGACTGTGTTACTAGTTTTATGAACAATCTAATAATCTGAACACTTCATAGTGATTGGAAAACATAATTATAAAATACGTGCACAACAGCATGAGCTGCTTTCTTGGAGACAGGATAGAAGCAGCAGGTCCTGAAGAAAAGCCAATGAGTGAAATTCCACTTTTGTGTTATCTTTTCATCTTACATTCCCCATCTGAAGAGACAAGGTTGTGAGAGATTTAAATGCTGGAAATTACTGTTCCTAGCTGTCATCTTCTTTGGATAATGAGGGTGTCACATTATCAACACCAGGCCCAGAACATGAGAGACACCTTCATGCACACCACACCCCCCCCCACCTTCATGAGATGACATTTGTGCACAGTTGCCACATGCAGAACACAAACTCAAAAGAAGCAGCTAAGTGGGATTCGATACCTTAATTTTTTTTTTGACCATGAGAGTGTCCTATTGTAACCATACTAAATTTGCAGGCTGCTCTTTGTTATCAGCTGGTAAAGAACAGATCTAACTCTGCCGGTGAGAATTTAGGTCTCAGTGGGGGCAGTGCTCACCATTGGCACAGCTTGTCAATTATGTCCACAGCATGCCAAGTCTGAATGACCGAGCACATCCTATACCTGGAGAGGTCTCCAGCTCAGCAACCAGATTACTTATGATCCTTTCTGCACCACAGCAAGCCGCGTTCTGAACAAAAACCATCTCCCTTCTATTGCTTTCTTCCTTACATCCCTTCACTTAAATTTCTCCTAACAAATGGGCACACACAATGACAGCACACATGTGAACTTTTAAAAACTAGACCATTACAAGCAAATGAAATAATGGAAACCATACACTGTAAGGAAAATATAAATAAGGAACAAAAAGTGAAAGACTTCTAATACAACACTTTTCCAAAATGCGATCCTTACACCAAACAGAACACATTGAATTGAATTCCGTGCAGAGTTACAGACATAATGATGTGCCACACTTCTTACGTGCTGCTAAGCACTGATTAAAAAATTAGTTTCATTATAAGATGAATTACCTTCTCTGTGCAGGAGGAGCACTATCAGATGCTTTGACAGTGAGAGCATAGGATCGCCCCACTGACAATACAACTCCTGGAGCAATGGTGATAAGGCCTGTTCGGTCATTGATGATGAAGTTTCCCTGATCCCCAGCCAAAATTTCATATACTATCTGTCCATTGGGTCCCTCGTCCGCATCTACAGCAGTGAGCTGCAATTCAAAACCAGAATGTCAGCACGCATGGTTCAGTGTTGTAGTTTAATAGTCTTTTGTAAGGCAAGGCAGTAGGGGTAGAGGAAGTAGAGGGGAACCTGTAACATATGCAGTAATTTCTAATTACTGTACAACAAGGATACAATTTAGATGAAAGATAATAGGCATAAAAACATCATGAAGCAGAGAAAAACTGCTTACCTAAGATTGCAAGCAAGTTATTTTAATGTACAAATGAAGAAAACTAATTAAGACCAAGTTTACGTGCTGTGGATTGGACTTTATAAGACTCTCTATAAAGGGGGGAGGAGGGAAGAAGATACTTACTGTGTTGCACATGTAACACGAGGACCATATTTAATTAGTGAAAGTTCCCATCCCTCTCTAAACCCTTCAAAGTGACAGCCTTGTAACTGCCAGAAAATCTAATATCCCGGTCTTGCATTACAGGCCCTTGTTGTGTGGAACTGGAGAACAAGGTTTGTGTTACTCACAGGTGCACGGACCGTAAAGAAAGCTGAGGGGAAGGGAAATGGCAGCTGTTCCCACGTGGATACCCACGTACGAAACACAACCATGCACATCACAGATGCACAAGGCCATTTCACATGGCAACATGACACCACCTACCTGAACAGCTGTGCTTTGGGGGTAATCTCAGAGCCCCGCAATAAATGCAACGGAGCACATACTTCTGTACTTTGTTGCCTCCACACCATCTTTTTACTGGGACTGTAAGTACTCCCACATGTGGCTTTTCTTTGATATAATTGACAATTCTGGTTCTGAGCATGAGAAATATCTATGGCCTAATATTTTAGACTCAAATTATAATGATGAAGGTAATGAAATGAGGGGGTTCTTACCTTGCCTCTGGGAAAGGCAACAGGTTTATCGCACTTCTGTAGTGTGCCATGCTAAATCAAACATTTACACACACACACAGAAAATACAGCTCAGACACTTGCTTTTAGCCAAGTGTCAAGTACCAATGACTCTGACTGCCATGCCATAAGGCAAATAACTAGCAATCTAAGACTTCAAATCAGACCCCTGCTGTAACATAGCCAGATATGCATCCATGCCTCAGTCAGGCCAGTTCACATCTCCATGTCCTAGCTAAGCCCTTGCACCTCTCCTCTTCCTTTACACATATGTAGAATAACCAAGTTATTCTACGTATGACGTGCAATCACATGATGCCTATCACTTGATTTGTATTACTATGATTCAAATTGCACCTTGATTATCTCCACATGCAGAAAACAAAAAGAAGCACAGCGTTCTGTTACATTGAGGGCTGAGTCACCACAGTACCACCAAATTCTGCCAGCACCTCTGGACTTTCTTCTTCCCATAGGGGTTATTTTGCTGATACGTACACTGGTTTCTCAGTTGGCTTTTGATTTTGCATGACCGTATATTACTTCATGGGATGACATAAAGTGGTATGAGCAGTACCTGAACACCTAGGAAGCCACAGCAGGCAGTGGCAGCGCCGCCTATGCACCCAGCTTCCCAGCACCAATAGTGGTGGAGCGGAAATGTCACAGAACGATATCACAACAGGCTCCTGCTGCTCCCAGCTGCAGCTAAACAGTTTGAGGTGGGAAATGGCAAGGGGCACCAGCAGGTACAGCAGCAGAGCTCCCCGGGATGTACAAAGCAATAAGGAATCCCAGCCTCACAAATTATTCCCTGCAGGGCTCCTAGAGTGAGGATGAAAAAACCCGCAGACATGTAGCTTCTTTAAAGATCTCTGCTGACCTATCTACCCTCGCTTTCTTGACTCATGCCTGTGGGCAGCATTGCACGTAGGATTGCAAGCCCAGTATTTAAGGGTAACACAAGATGACACAAAACTTTAGTGATGACTGCAAAGCCAATGGCAGGATCAACAGACGTTATCTCAGCCAGGGTCAGCCACCACAGCAGGACAAATGTCTGCCTGTCAGACACCCTTTTCTCAGCCCTGTGACACTCTTGAAGTTGACAGCACTGCAGACAGGTAGAAGAACTCATTGAAGTCTCTGCTACATTAGGATATAGTGTAATCTATTAATCAATACAGCATCACAGTTGACCTTCAGGAGGTCACAGCCTTTCAGAGCACCACCTACAACATTCAAACCACCTTTGCCCAAGGATGGCTAAAGAACTGGAAGAGCAGAAACCAAACCTTGCAAATAGAACAAGAAGGGAGATGAAGAATAAAATCTAAAGCTGTAATATTCACGTCAATCACATTCGCATACAACATTAAACACCAAGGGGGGTATGTGAAAAACTCAGGGATCTAGCTGCTTTACAGGATAAACTTGATTCTTCATGCACACAGGCTCAGTAAAATATGAAATTTCATGTAAAAAGTAAAAACTTGCTCAAAACCAAGAGTTAAGCCCACAATAGCTTAAACACAATAAATTAACTGAAATGCTAAAAGATAAGTGATTTAGGTGTACTAACAAAAGTGGGGTTTGCCCCCTTTGTTAGGAGTGCAAGCTATTCCTGCTGTTAGGGACTCAGCTGCTTTATGGAGGAGCAACCATTTTTAACATGGAATAAGTTGTACACAATATTCATCAACTGAATAGTATGTTACTTAAATTACTTCTCTCCTGAAGTAATCGGTGTTCTGCTTCTTTCACACACAGCACAGTGACCCAAAGCAAATTTCCAACAGAGAAGTATTTAACTTTATCTAAACTGACTTTGATTTTCTTTGTTGTAGATGCTGCCCTCCAACATTGCAAATTGATCACCCTTGCACTAGAATGAGCAAATCTTCTTAATTCATCCCCCTATATTAAGACATACTGTATACTGAACACAGGATAAACACTTGAAATACCTCAAAAAATCATAAAACAGATTATTTCCTCTTAGAAGTTTAAAAAATAAATTAATCACAGAGAAATTAATCACATTAATATCCATGGGTTACTTTTGGAAAACCTATCCATCTCATCCTATATTTTCTTTTGAAATTCTGAAAAAGCCATCCTATGAAGACTGCACTTTTGGAACGTGCTTTGCATTCCACCCATATGATGTCTTGATAATACATTAACACACCAAAATTCAGCATATAAAACAGACTATCTGCACCCCCCTCAGGGTTTAGAGCTTAAACCCCTCCCAAACTCCATTTCTTTAATCCCTCACTCTATAGTTTCTATATACAACTGGATGTGTTCATTAACCTCACAAAGCGTAACCATCAAACTAAGTGATATAGCTAAGAAAAGTGCTGTAATAACCTTCTCTACTGAACTTCAGAAGTAACACATACAAAAAGATAAATAAGGGCTTTATGCAAAATACAAGGTCCTAAGTATTTAATGACAGGATTTGGAACGAGGCCAGTTTTTACTGTGACGACATGAAAAAGGAAATTAATTGACTACACAAGTACATAGATTAATAAGGTTAATTAAACTTACAAATACTGAACGCTTGATAAGTGATTTGAATAACATTTTGGGGGCAAAACCAGGAATCAAAACCAGAATTAAACAGAATTAAATTTAACAGCTGCCATAATACAGGATTCATAAATTCCATCTCCAGCTGTCCTAGACCGATAGAGCTTCATAGTTAACAAGATTTCAGAAACACGGTCTAAAATATACAGAAAGAAGTACAAAACAAGATTTATTTTACTTTCCTAAGAAACTTTCTGCACCCAGCAGTATCAGCTTCATTACATGAATATTTAATGTATTTATAGTTTTGCAAAATAGGTGCATATTCTGCTGCAGCGAGAACTGGTTTTCTTAGAAGGAAAAGGAGACTTACAATGACAGTCTTACGGCTTACAAAAAAACACACTCCTGGTCACTATATAAGCTCTGTTCAGACACTTTAGACTTGGCTTCAACATTTGACCTGCAACCTTTCTGCAGCCACACATCCAGCGACCTTGCCCTAAACAGATAAAGTGATTACCGTCCTTTCCAGTAGCCCTATGTTTTTCAACAAATTAAATGTTCAGCAAAGTCTGTCTGACTCATAGGACCTAAAGCGAACCCTGCAGAAACCGTGAGTCACGCCAGTTCTCCTCCCAACTGCTGTCCTTGACATGAGTGTTCCAGTCCAACCAGTGCAAGGCTCCAGAGCCACATTCATGTGGTGTAACAGCGTCCAGGAAACAGCACAAATGCTCTCTGGAGCAGCACACCAGCAAAAAATGCTGGGCTGCCAGAACTTAGATGGCCACTCTCCTCATCCTCCTAGGGCTCAGCAGTACAACTCAGCCATTATTGCACTAGCAAAAGCAGTAATGAGTTTCTCTGTGCCAGGGGCAAAAAGGATTGTGATGGAGACATTCCTGAACTTGAGCCAACAAAATGACCAACAGAGTAGGTCAAAATACTTTTTCAGTATCATCTTCATACATTTCATTGAGTCTCTATCCATTATTTTTTACTTGAGTATACAGGTACGTTTACTGAGAAATGCAAACATAACCCAGTTTTGTTTTCTGCTTCTGCTAATAATGTTTACTTTGTAGTTGGAAATTAACATGCTGATGGACTGAAGGCAAAGGGTTGCAAATAACCACAGAAATAAAACATTAAGTGTGGTTTGGAGATGATTTTTACAAAGACTTCCTCTCAATTGTCTTGTGGCTTTATAGCAAGATGCATGTTTAAGAGCTGTAGACCACAAGCATATGCCAAGCCGCAAATACCCAAACATCTCTCTAATACATAATTTATTATGTGTCTGTATGCAAGGATAGCTCAAGTCATGTGCCTGTACGTGCAGGGAATGAAAACAAATTGTTCAGAAGAGACAAAGCGATCCAGCACTGAGAAGCCACGTTTCAGGTAATGGCAAAACAGTCCCAAAGGAGGCATTTATTTAATGGCTCTAAATAACATGTGTACAAGTGATAGTACTGTTACTGCTCGAGACTAATTCTACTGTGAGCAAGAGTTAAGCGACAGAAACTTTACTGCCTGAAGCTTTAGCATGTTTGTTTTCATTTGTTT